GTTTTCGAGTGTGATTAACCTACAGGGGTCATACCTTAATAAAAATCTGTCCCTCTCCGAGAAGCTACCCACTGTTCACCTCCTGAGGGGCGAGGGCTCAGAATCCCCTTGGATTAGATCCTGTGCAGGCTGAGTTCCTGAGTGTAGCCGCCCTGTTGTACCCAGAAGACACTGCATCCTTCCTGCCCCTCTTCGCTGGTGGTCCCTGAGTCTTAGTTATATGTGCAAGAGAGATGTTCCACCTGGGGCTGAGCACTTCCCTGGCACACAGCCTTTGTATTTTGACAACTCGTTGAGTTTCTGTGTTAACCCCGTCCACTGCACAAAGAAACTTCTCTGCTGAGGTCTGAGAGCTGCACTAATCTATGGGTAGGAAGTTAGGATTTAGAGGGCAGCTTAACCCTATGTCCATTTACTGAATAATATTATTAAAATTAATAATTTTAGGTTATCTCCTGGAGCCTCTGAGCTCCCTAATGATGGGTTCTTGGCCAGATTTTAAGTATGAGGCATGTGATGTTTTTCTTCTTGTGGAGCCAGCCTCAAATCCAATCAGAAAACGGCAGGTTTTCCCCATGATATTTGTGACAAGATATGCCATGGGCATATCTGGCTGTACAAGTCAGGTGTCACCATGAAGTTTTGGTGGGCAACCAAAAGCAGTATTTTTTTTTTTTTTTTTTTTTTTTTGGTGGAAGAACAGTCTCTGGTACACCTCAGACTGGCAACTCAAGTAGATGTATCCCACGTTTGGCTTGGGATTTTATTTTCAGACACCTATGGCTTCTGGGAGGGGTGTCACCCCTCTGTAGGGTACCTCCAGTTTCGTTCTTTTCGCCTTAATCTCTACTATCTACTTATTTTCCTGTTGTAGAATTTGTCTATTAGAATCATAAAGCTTCCTGAAAACAGGATGGTTCTCTACCCCTCCACTGCAGCTAAAGCAACACCTTCCATTTGAATTGTCCATGACCGCATAGTGGTCAAAGTGACTTTTGTCTGTGTACTTGGGCAACCATCTCTGTGGCCTTGAGTCTTCAGGCGTTTGCCGTTTGTTACCAAAGGTCTGAAAGTTGTAACTTCTGTCTCATTTCGTAGAGAGGCACAGGAAGCTATGAGGGCCACATTTTGGAGGGTTAGAGTCATCTGCTTAGTCACACCTGCAGGTTTCCTTGTCTTCTTCCTCCTGTGACAGTTTCTACACACCTCAAATTTTAAGGCCCTAATCTCTGTCCATACAAACACCGAGATTCCAGGTCATTACTCTTGAGACTCTGAACTGAACTGAAATTTCCAAGTTCTGTTGAGTGAATTTTAGGGAATACCACAGAGGAATTCGATGTGTATACCCTCAAATGTGTTTTTGTTTTTAAATTTAAATTTATTTTTTTCCTGTTTCCTTCTTCAGATATGAAGGGCAAAGAGTTAGAATTTGGTTATGGTATTTGTGAAAATACACATTATTTCAACTCTTTCTAGCCTCTCTGATGGTTTTCAGATATTAAAAAAATCATGATTCCAAATGTAAAATGACATAAAGTAGAAATTCCAACAAGTTTAACTAGATACACGTGCATGTGTGTAGTTGACACACTTAAAATCCCAAGTTTTTTTCATTTTGTTTTTTATGATGGGCTCATTATATTTTATTTAACAGCTTATTTTCATTTTATTCCCATTGGTGTTTTGCTCAAATATAGGTCCATGTGAGGGCATCAGTCTTTGGAGTTACAGTTACTAGCTGCCATTAAGTGCTGGGAATGGAATGTGGGTCCTCTGGAAGAACAGTCAGTGGTCTTAACCATTGAGCCACCTTGCCACCCCCCAAACTTCAGATTTTTATAAAGAAACAGAAAGCTGCAGTGTATTCAGTACTCACTATGGCTGAGTCAAGTTATACTCATATTACAGAATTATGAAAATGTTCATTAGTAACCAGCCTTTTTCACTAGAATTTCTTTTAGGTTTTAGAATTTCAATTATATTCCTCAGATACAACATCCTAATAAAGCCTACTTGGTACAGCTGATTATTGGATTTTCCATTTTATTTTGTGTGTATCTGAGTGAACGTGTGCCATGTGTGTAGGTGCCCTAGGTCAGAAGTGGGTGTTGAATGGATGCCCTGGAGCTCGACTTACAGGTGACTGTGAGACACCTGACAAGGGTGCTGGAAACCGAAGGTGGGCCCTTGTGAAAAGCAGCAGGTGCTCTTACCTGCTGAGCTATCTCTCCAGCTTCTTCACTATTATTTCTTGTAGGTTTTAGTATCCCTGATGCATTTCTCAGACACAAGCTTCCTAATTAAGTCTGCTTGGCATATTGGATTGTTCCATATTGCTTGTGAAAATGGATGCCGAAGGAACATCATTATGACAGACAGCCGAAATGACAAGGTCAGGTTTTAGGCCCTTGCTTCTGTGATAGACAGCTCTGCTCCCAAGTATGCATGCTACATAACAAGAAACTGTCTCAAAACGAGGGGTGAGGAAGGAGAAGAAAACAATTTATTTAGTGTTCTTATGTCAGGAGGGAACTTACGGTCCTCTGTGCAGGTTCTTGATCTCACATATAAAAGAATTTTAAAGTTGACCCAGAAAAAAACTCTAGGAAATTTTATTGACTTCCGAGACAGTGAACACCACAGCAGGCACCTCTAGGAGAAGGTGGAGGTGGGGGAGACAGAGACAAAGCAAAGAAAGTGGAAAGGCTCACCAGCGGCGGTCTGCAAGGGTGAGGTGGAGGGTCTCACTAAAGAGACAGAATGCTCCCAGTGTCGGGGCAAGGAGAACTGGGCGACTGGAAGAGGAAGTGATGATTTCCCAGGTAGCACTCCAGTGGACAGACTGGTTTATCCATGAGTCTGTTGAGGGAGGGCTGTTAGTGGTATCTATCTCCTTAACGGGATATTATCCCTTCCCTTTCCTTACCACATCTTCCAGTAGATCTCACTTCCTTCTACCCCGGCTTCAGGCTTGGTTGTAAAACAGGATTTCCTCCTTACTGGAGGTCTCTGTTCTTAGCAAAAGAAGTGCCCACATCTACATAAAAAGAGTATTATCAACTTCTCTTTGTTTTAGGGAAGCAGACACACTGATAGTTCCTAAGTCTCAAACCAATGCCTGGGAAGTAGGTGGCTGCAAAGGACCTTTCCCCTTCCTTTTTTTGCCAGAAAGCATCCTCTATCACTTCCAGAGCGGTTTACATCCCTACAAACATACACAGGCACACAGTGCTACTACCTGCTTTATACTGTCTTGCATCTTGGAGACACTCATCACTTAAGCAGTGTGTTCTGAATCTGAAGACTGTTTTTTTAAAGGAGTTTCTATTTATTAGTTCTGCAAACTCGGGCAATTTCTTGATGTCATTGACTGAGCACACGTGTCCCGTGATCTAGAGTACAGGTACACACCTTGAATCCCAGCAACAGAGAGGCAGAGGCAAGTGCATGTCTTTAGTTTGAGGCCAGCCTGTCTACAGAGCAAGAAAGTTCCAGAGAAACCCTGTCCCAAAAAACAAACAGAAAATGAAATGACATTGTGACTATAAAGGATTTTAAAAATCGTCATCTAGCCTAATTTTGTACTAAGGGACCTGTTTTGTACCTGTTTTCCCACCAAACAGAATGCTGCATTGCAATTTGCTGTGCATCAGATTGCTTTTAGTCTTTTGATTTACAAACTATGTTGCTAAAAGGAAAAACAAAGAAAAGCAAAAACAAAAACAAAAACCCACCCTAAAGAAACTTCCTTTTTTTTTTTTTTTTTTTTTTTTTTGAGTCAGGATTTGTCTAGCCCTGGTTTCCTGAAACCCACTCTGTAGACCAGGCTGGCCTCAAACTCTCAGATTCATGTGCCTCTGCTTTCCGAAAACTGGTATGTGCACCAGCACCACACTACTATTTTCAAAAGCAGTAAATTTCTAACAGAATTTCAGGGAATGAAGGACACATACATACATTCTTAAGTCCAACAGACATTACTAAATTCTCCTTCAAAGTTTCTTTTAAGATTCCTTTTTCTCTTTAATCAACTTACAGGCCACCAACAATAGCTGAAAATAATGGTCAGGCAGGCTTATTAACGATTTCTCATTCCTATCTTACCATGTTTATTAGGTGAATAATAGATATTGAAAGCAATGTGTCTACTAGATAGCAAACTACTATTTAGGAAATACGGGCGGCTTTGGTGGTAGCAAGAAAAACATTAAAAAAATGTGCTTTAACACCTCGAAAAGTCGTTAATTGGGAGAAAATGAGACGTTAACATACTGGTCATTAAAAAACAAACAATCTAACCAAAAACCCGCTGATTTCTCCTATTCTTTCCAGGTGTATGATGTGCTAAGAGGGTAGTCAATCACTCTACAGACGAATCCCCAGTGGGCAATAAAGCTGGGGCCTAAAGCTAGTCTTTCCATTCCCATTCCTAAGCCAACCTAAATTGTAAGGCTTTGTTGTTGTTGTTGTTAAGTTTATACCTGCATCTTGCTAAGTAACAAGCAAAAACTTATCTCGATAGATCTTTTTCTTGACTGAAATACTTACGGTTTGTGAGGCTACATAAAACATCTTACTCTGAAAATATCAATATGGGAACCCACTCGCCTATAATATTCCCTGGTCAAAGGTCAATATTTAGTGCTCGCATGTTCATTTTTATGCTCTCTCTTCCGGAATAAGATTTTCCTGCCCCCAGAACGAACCCTTTAAGGAAAAAGACCGCAGCTGCCTCACTCACTGCCCTAGTTTTGTTTAGATTAGCCAACAAGTTTTCAACATGGGTCCAGTAACTAACGGACGCCCAGGAACTAACCTGCCGCCTTTTCCTTATTCTGTTTTCCTTCACCTTTTGGAAAAGTATAAGAAACCGAGCGTCTGAGCAGGAGCCTTGTAGACACTTGGTGCCGGCAAACCCACAGGATCTCACAGGAGACTGGTTGAACACTAAAAGAAAAGAACTTAACGTCCCCACGTCCCCGACAAATAGACGCGAGTGCAACAACTTTTTTTGTTGAAAGTGTAGGTGGCTCTGAAAAGAGCCTTTAGGGTTGGAGTCAGAGCGCTCACTTGGAGCTGGTGTACTTGGTGACGGCCTTGGTGCCCTCGGACACGGCGTGCTTGGCCAGCTCCCCGGGCAGCAGCAGGCGCACGGCCGTCTGGACCTCCCGGGACGTGATGGTCGAACGCTTGTTGTAGTGCGCCAGGCGCGACGCCTCGCCCGCGATGCGCTCGAAGATGTCGTTGACGAACGAGTTCATGATGCCCATGGCCTTGGAAGAGATGCCGGTGTCGGGATGGACCTGCTTCAGCACCTTGTACACGTACACCGAGTAGCTCTCCTTGCGGCTGCGCTTGCGCTTCTTGCCGTCCTTCTTCTGCGCCTTGGTCACGGCCTTCTTGGAGCCCTTCTTCGGGGCGGGAGCCGACTTCACTGGTTCAGGCATATTGACACAGCCTAGAAGAACTGTAACAGCGAGTTGTTCTTGTCTTCCCTTTTTATAAGGCGTTATTCAAATGAGGCTTAGAATAGCACATTTCTGGTTGGGTAATATTTGGGCGATGTCATCTGGAGTATGGCCCAATAGAAATACGCAATGGCACAAACGCTTCCCATTGGTCTAAATAAAATGAAGAAGACAGCCAATCGGAAGGGTTCTTTTTCGCGCCCATAGAAAACTATAAGAGCCAAGCTCTTGCCACTTTCAACTACACAGTTGCTAACGGCTGTTTTCTACTCAAGATGTCTGGACGCGGCAAGCAGGGTGGCAAGGCTCGCGCCAAGGCCAAGACCCGCTCCTCCCGGGCCGGCCTGCAGTTCCCCGTGGGCCGCGTGCACCGCCTCCTCCGCAAGGGCAACTACGCGGAGCGGGTGGGCGCCGGCGCCCCGGTGTACCTGGCGGCCGTGCTGGAGTACCTGACGGCCGAGATCCTGGAGCTGGCTGGCAACGCGGCCCGCGACAACAAGAAGACGCGCATCATCCCGCGCCACCTGCAGCTGGCCATCCGCAACGACGAGGAGCTCAACAAGCTGCTGGGCCGCGTGACGATCGCGCAGGGCGGCGTCCTGCCCAACATCCAGGCGGTGCTGCTGCCCAAGAAGACCGAGAGCAGCCACAAAACCAAGGGAAAGTAATGTGAAAAGTCACCAGAACTTTCGGAAATTTCAAACTCAAAGGCTCTTTTCAGAGCCATCTACAATGTCTTTTAAAGCGCTGAACATTTTATACAGTGACACTTACATGCAAGTTCACTGTTGATGTTTTTTCTAACTTAACATGTTGGCGGTTTATGTCCTAGGAACGGTGCTGCGATATTTGTGGACCTGTTTAAAAAGCCGGGCGGTGATGCTGCACGCATTTTCTCTCAGTACGCTACAGCAAAGCCAGACGGATCTCTTGTTCAAACACACGCAAAAAAGCACACACCACAAATTGAGATTTAGTCCATCTAGTTTTCCCTGTCAGCTTCCCATCTGGAATTTACCATAATACTTCCCGCGAATTCGTACTTTTATTTATCCTTTCTTGTGTACTTAACATCCGTTTCAACCGTAGTGGTTAAAGAATATAAGTATTGACAGTCGTGGTAGCCACTCAGGTGGCCACTTATACGTTTTAAATTTTGAACCTGTGGATTTTTTTTTCTTTAGTTGCCTTCCGAGACAAGGTTTCAGAGTTGTATCCCTGTCTATCCCTGAGTTCACCATGACCTCGAGCTAGACATCCGTCTGGCCCTGCCTCCGGAGTGCTGGGATAAAAAAGCACACCGGCCTAATAAATCTTGGTTTGTGTGTTTTTTGTTTCTCGAGATCGGGGTTCTCTGTGTAGCCAGGGCTGACCAAGCTGGACAGATCCTTCTGCCTCTGCCTCGGAGGTCTGGATGGGATCGAAGGCGGGCGCCACCGCCTCCGTGCTGTGTAATCTGAATGAATGAGATTATTTTTTGGCATTTAATTATTCGGTCCTTAAACTATATCTTTAAAGTTAAAAAGCATACTTATGTCCAAACAGTGTAAGGAATATAAAAGTAAGTTCTAAAGTCTTGCCTTTGAAAGAGTTATTTATGTATACAGTGTACTGTCTGCAAACCAGAAAAGGACACCAGATCTCATCATAGATGGAGCAATCTGTGTTCTTAACCTCTGAGCCATTTCTCCAGCCGCCTGGAATTTCTTTATATTTCTTTCTTTATTTTATTTTTTAATTTTCTGCTTTTGTTTTCCAAGACAGGGCTTCTCTTGTGTCCTGCAGCTCACTCTGTAGATGTAGACCAGGCCTGCCTCTGCCTCTCGAGTGCTGGGACTGAAGGCATGCGCCACCATCGCCCGGTGCCTCTGTATATTTTCTAATAAATTGTGTTTTATACCGACACGTCAGGGATCACTTTGAACAAAAATGGTCAAAAGCTCTTTAAAAACTTGCAAACATTGACTGCGCGCCTGACTGTTCCGTTGTTCGATACACGTAAGTTAAGTAAGCATGGTCCTATACAAATAATACTAAAGAAAAATTTTAATGGATGGTGGGATTAGTTTCCGTCTATAATCTGTAGCGTTAAACTGACGCTGAGAGCCCCTCCCCCAGACACGGGCAGTTCCCGCCACTGCGCTTCCTGTTTTCACTCCGGTCCGCACCCTCCCTATAAGAGAGTCCTGCTGGCTTTGGCCGGTCAGTCGGGTTTTCTTTCTGTGTCATAAATATGTCTGGTCGCGGTAAAGGCGGGAAAGGCCTGGGCAAAGGCGGCGCCAAGCGCCACCGCAAGGTCTTGCGCGACAACATCCAGGGCATCACCAAGCCCGCCATCCGCCGCCTGGCCCGGCGTGGCGGAGTCAAGCGCATCTCCGGCCTCATCTACGAGGAGACCCGCGGGGTGCTGAAGGTGTTCCTGGAGAACGTGATCCGCGACGCGGTCACCTACACGGAGCACGCCAAGCGCAAGACCGTCACCGCCATGGACGTGGTCTACGCGCTCAAGCGCCAGGGCCGCACCCTCTATGGCTTCGGCGGCTGAGCTTCCCACGCTTTTGTCGTTTGCTTTCAAAGGTCCTTTTCAGGGCCAACCACCTATCTCCCTGAAGGGCTGCAGCATTGTGAGTTCCCATTTCCAGCGCTTTTGTGCTGTGCCAGTTCGTGGCGTACTATCTTTCATTCACTCAGTCAGTGCCTCTTGTTGCTATGGGTACTGCGGTTAGCTATTTTGCGTCTCCTGTATTAGTACGCCGGTGTGTACCAACTTGTGAAGCTAGGTGTAGCACGGCAGGTTCTCTTAGACCCGTGACCGTCTGCTTAGCCGGCTTTAGATAACAAATGCAGTTCATATAAGATTGTCTGGACGTTGCTTACGTTCACGAAAAGGAACTTAAGAGGAGTGGCTTCCTCTCCAGAAAGATGTAACTTGCCTCATACTTGCTTTGGGGACAGTCAGCCATCCGGTCTTAAATCATGACATGCTCTCAATTAGAGGAGCAAAACGAATCCAGTTACCTGGAAACAGACTGGGTTGTCTGACTTCCTAGTGTCTGCACAAGAGCTATCCCTGGGTCTGTCAATTGCTAGCGTTTTTTTTTCCCACACCCCCAGTAAATGCCTTAACTGTTGCTTCTGTTTTCTGCTGTGTGAAATATTTCAGGTTGGCCGCTGCTACTTGGGGAATTCTTTAGTCGGTGGAGAAAACGAACCCAACCAAGACCCTTAGTCTGTATCTGCATGGTTTTGGAGTGATGTTTTACATCTAATACCTCACCTCACTGTACACGTACGTGTGTGATAGGGATGTGAGGTCTAGGCAGTGCTCATATTGGCATCACCTGACGCACGGTATAATAGGTGTCAAGAACTTGTGCCTTTGGCATTTTTCTCACTGCTCCCTATCCATGCAGCCATGCCTGTGCTCACCTGCATGCATTGTTTTACATAACATAAAAGAATCACAAATTATTTGGTGTCTTCTCTCTCCCCCACCCCCAACGCCACCCTGTGCCTGTTTTACGTGGTATTTTATTCCGATTCATTTGGGTTTATCCTGGTGATAGACTGACTTCAAGGGAGCCAACAGACCCTGTCTCATAAAGATGATGTGTCTACTTGACCCCGGATTTAGGCTCCAGTCCCCCTACTTAAAAAACCCAGGTTTTGATATTTAAGCAAGCAACATTTGGCTAAACCTCCAAATTTCCATCCAAATGAAATACATCTGCATTCCACCAGTACAAACTTTTGCCCTTCCGCTGTATCTCACCCCATGTTACAGTAATGACTCCTTTTCTGCTAAGCAGCACCAAAGACAATCTTCACCTGTCAGGAGTCCCTTTTCTGGTAAGCATAAAAATAAGTAATAGTGTTTACTCACTAATTTTGCATAGTAGTTTAAGGTTAATGGCTCCCTTGAAGCCTTTAGAATGTAGGAGCACACTCCTGCAAAGTCAACTAGGATTTCTAGAGTGGGAATCCTCAAGGCCAAACAAAAGTCTGAAGAAAGAAGCTGAGAGAGAAGACAATAGAATCGGGAGGTCTGTCTGGCTCATGCCAAAACAGCAAACAGCCCAGAGTTTATTTCAAAACCTGCTTATAAACAAAAACAGAAATCAAAGCCCGACACAGACCCGTTGTCATCAAACCATGGATCATTTACAGACACTGGCAACGTAACGGAAGGTTGTATGATCATCCACTTGAGAAGTACAATTAGTCAAAACACAATCAGCGCATGATACATTAAACAACACTGTTCATGGAGGTTTTTATCTCTCCCACCAAAAGAACATCAGGCCTTTTTACGCACACCAAGACAGTTCTCTCAGGGGGCAACCAGGGTTTCACGAACTGAAATGTCCTGCCCCTTTTCCCAAGGCAGCTCAAGTTTTCCAATATAAGTCTGTGAAAATGTTGTACCAGAGTACCAAATTCCACCTGACAGTCCTTGGTCCCAAGATTCTGCTCTAGACAAATGATGTGGAATTCCCCTCTGTATGCTGTGAATGCCACTGATTAATAAAGAAGCTGCTTTGGGCCTATTGCAGCGCAGAATAGGACAAAGCAGGAATTCCAAGGGGTCCCAAGACCAAGAGAAAGAGAAAATACCATAATCCTTTTAATTTGTGAGAGGTGGATCCAAGTTTTATAATTCTCTCCATGTTCTGAAGTTTGTATGAATCTCCATTTTATAAAAGGACATAAAAGTTTCAGATATATTAGCATTGTGAATCTGTACTGAAATCCATATTGTAGAAAAAGGAGGTATCAGGTATCCGTTAAAAACAAATAAAAACAAAAACAACAACAACAACAAAACAACAACAAAAAACAGGAGTAGACTCACATCCTTGAGTCCTAGCAGAAACTATAGATTTGGGTTAAACAGCATGTTTGGACTTTTCTATGGAAGTCCGAGTAGCAAAGAGGTTTAGCTTTGTCATTTCATAGGAGGCCGATCACACAGAACCCTGTAACTCAGAGGGTTGCAATATGATGATTAATTAGTGACTTGTATTTAGGACCTCAGTCCTCCTTTCACCTTTAGAGAACATGATCCCATTATTAACATAACTATTCTGTAGTGAAGACTCACCAGCCTTATTAATGAAGAACGTCAACCAGAATTAACTTCACATGGTAAAATCTCAATTTTTATAGTTTCCCTTAAAACTCAGTATTGTACGTAGATGAATTCCTTTTCCTATATCATTTCAATCTCTGTTTGTCACTTAGTCCTACATGCAAAGCTCGATTAATGACTCGTCTTGTGGATTCTTCCAGCAGTCCAGAAGATGCATTTCAAACAAGAGCCAAGAAAAATATATGTGTATGTATCATGATAAGAATAACTTAAATTTGCGTTCACATAAAAAAACCTGTAACAATATGAAACTTTCAAAACTAACAGCAGTTTTCTTGATCTTAATACTAATTTGCATCCAATTTCCTTAAAAGATAAGTATTTGTAACCCATTGGATCTAAATGACTTACACCCATATATATTTCTCTTTCTTGTGAAAACAGAAGCATAATTTTCCCCAAATATAAAGTATCTTTGACTTTTACTTTAAAATCAACACTTCCCAAAATATTCAGGTTGGTATAGTTCAACATTTTTTTCCAGGCAGTATCAAGACAGAGAAGGGTTAAGGTGGGAGACTGCTGGCCCGCAGAAGAGACGTTGAATGTTACCACAGTGAAGAACTTGACTTAGGAAAGAAAATAGGGGTGTGGGACCCTCACCCCTTATTCTCAAAGGGGCAAGAATAAATTTCCTAGCAGAATGTTTTCCCAGGAAGATAGTGGCCTTCCCCTCTCCCACTCAGGAGATTCTGAGCACAAGGTCACTTAGCTCAGCCCAGCCAGCCACCTGGTACAGGCTGATAAAGATGGCCTAACTCAAGAACAGTGGCCTTGCTCTAAAAACAAGGAAAAAGCTGACTTAACAGAATGGGAGGGAGCAAAAGTCCTTGTACCCGTGCCAAAGCAGCTCCAAAGAGTCTCTTTGGAGTTATGACTTTAGAAGCTTACCCCACAGAGGAGATACAACTCCTCTCTACACCTCGCTGTAACGGGGATGGAGATGAGTTCCAAACATGTTTGTATTATGCTGATTAAACCTTATTTATAACAGTCTGGGCCTCTCCGGTGGTCTCTCTCCCTGGGGGTCATAATCTGGGCACAACAGGGGGAGCAGCGCTGGTGGGCACAGAATGTGTCCTTGACTCCCAGTATCTCTGAAAAAAGAATTTTAACTTCTCAGGCCACACTCAAAGAATCTCTGGCTCACATCCGTGCAGTTTTTCAACTGCAAGCAGTCAATTCCCTGCCCGGTCCACATGAGCGTGTCTCTCTATAGTACTAACCTCTCTGCCCTCCTGAGCATGTGTTTGAGCAGTCTATTCCCTGCCGGCCGGTCCACACGATCATGTCTCTCAGTAGTATCCTCTCTGCCCACCTGAGCATGCGCACTCCCGTTCTCCGCAGGAGCTGCTGGCTGACTGTAGACCAGAGAACAACGGAGAGAGGGGGCCCTTGCCATGCTTCCCCTTTGAGAAATTTTCTTTCGGGACCCAAAGTCCTGGAACTGAATCAATAAAAATGCACAGGGACGGGGCCTAAAGGCAGAGGCCGCCTGCCTCATCTCCTCCAGGACGACAAAGAAGGTCAATAGACAAAAATGAACTATAATGACTGACAGACGTACGGGCACCACGTAAGCTTTTCAGGGACATGAACACATAAAAGAGAAGATCAACACAGTGACATTCAAAACACAGACCAAGACAAAGAGCGCTCTTCTACACCTTTTTAAATCTCTAGACTCACCGTCCCTTCTGCAGGAACCAGGGGTATACATCGTTTACACATTTCAAAAGCTGAAGCCCTTGCCTTGTCCTTCCTTAGCACCGCAGCCTTTAAAATATCTGTAAGTAAATGTGGAAATTCTAAAATTTTACACAGTTGTTGATGCCCTCCCTACCTTGGCACCTCCAACTTTTAAAATATCTTTCAGTACACGTACAAACAGCTGTTTAGTACTAATTTTAGTACTAATTTTCTTGGCCCATAATTACTTTTTACAGTTATACTCAAGTTACTTCGTACTGGTTTTTCACGCTGTGCAGCTAACCTCCTTTTTGTATTTATACCGCGCAACTGCTTATTCTCCGGGGATGTGCTTACGGCATTTCCTAGTGCCCATGGAATCTGCCATGGCCCCATGAAAGATACCCCTCCCCAGAGGCCGCACAGCTGGGCGCCACCTGTAGGAGCCCCTCCTACAAACAGAAACAGTCGAACAGCCCAGAGTTTATTCCAGAACTTGCTTATATGGAAAAACAGAACAAAGCTCAGCACGGACGGTCAGTCCGTATCTAACCACAGACCATTCCTGTCGTTGAATGAGCAGCCTCCTCTCTAACATACATTTGCTGCTCAGAAGCAGCCTCACTTTCTGTCTTGATTCTTGATGTTCCTCCTGAGGTTTGTCGTCAGCCGTATACTGCCTTTTAGATAGAGTGTTCTTTTCTCGGGCTAAATCAGAAGTCTCTCACAGTCCTCAAGTTTATTGGAAAAAGCAGAGCAGGCAAACTTGAACTCAAATGACTTATAAGTTAGAATGGACTACAGATGGAAACTGAGTCACTCATGGCTCACACACCAGAACTTTTTTTTTTTTTTTTTTTTTTTTTTTTTAAAGCTCACCCTGTTTAAAAGCACGCCTTTACTTCCAGCACTCAGGAGATAGAGGCAGGCTGATCTCTGTGAGTTTGAGGTCAGCCTGGTCTACAAGAACTAGTTGCAGAACAGGTCCCAAAGCTACAGAGAAACCTTGTCTCACTCAAAACAAACAAAGAAGCTCACGCTGAGAAAGCCTTACAGCTAGACTGGGATCCTGAACATGAAGTATAGTAACTGAGTGTCTAGTAAAGACTTTCTATTGGTTTAAACCCATGTCTGAACAGTCTTCTCTGGAGAAGACTCACAACCACCACCTCCCCTCCTCCTCCGCCCCTCCTCCTCCTCCTCCTCCTCCTCCTCCTCCTTCTCCTCCTCCTTCTTTTCTCTATCTTTTCTTTCTTTCAGAATGGGTTTCTCATTATGTAGCCTTGGCTCACCTTGAATTTACTATGTAGACCAGGGTGGCCTTAAACTCATAGAAGTTTGCCTGCGTTTGCCTCACATACTTCATCACTCCCAGCCAAAGTCACTGTTCTTAAGTTCCTGATATATTGGAAGACATTTCACAAAATGCTTTTCTAAAATTTGAGAGGACAATTTGAAAGTGAAAACAACTGAAAGAGTGTTGGTCCAGAAAGCAGGCATTAGCAAGGTGATCTTAGTGATGATGAATTAGCTCGTTCCTAAGTAGCTATTCCTGTGCTGAACTTGGGTGAAGCACTGTCTCTATTACAATCTACAAACTCTAAAACTGCTTCAAAAGTGGAGTTTGACAAGCACCTCTTATACTGTCATTTTAATGTCTCAGGAAAAGTCATTTTAATGTCTCAGGAAAACTCAATTACAAGTCGGAAATTTGTGCTATGGGCCTTTGGATAAGAATATGGAAAAGAAGACTCGTTCATTGATAATAGAATAGAACTTGTCTTGTTAACTCCTACATGAATTGGCATTTCCATTATGAAAAATAGTGATCTCTATTTAGGTAGTACAGGATCAGCGGTTCAGATGTTGACAGCCTTTCCAGGGCTTCTGAGATGTTTCCAAACATTGCAACAATAACAGACAAACAACAAATCACATAAAATCAATCTGCTATCATTTTTATATTACAAGGATGTGTTATAGCTCTGGTTATAGCTCAGGTGGAGGAGTATGTGCCTAGCATGCATGAAGCCCTGAGTCTGATATTCAGAACTGCATGAACCAGATATGCTGGTTCACAGTTGTAAGCCCATCACTCTGAAGGTGGAGGCGGGAGCATCAAGAATTAAAGTTGTGGCCTCTAGTGCTCAGGAACATGTACTGTTTGTGTCCCAACCCCTCACTGGAAGGAAGTCTTACCTGGTCACAGGAGATGGCCAGGTCAGGCTCCATAGTCCCTACTGCTAGGAGTCTTAGCTAGGGCCACCTTTATAGATTCCTGGGACTTCCCACTGCACTAGATTTCTAGGTGACCCCGAAATGCTCCCCTTTTCTGTTGCCTCTTCCAGTACACCCTTCTCCACATCCCCAACCTGATCCCTCCTATTCCTATCCCTACCTTCCTCCACTTCACCTGTGGAATCTATTCTAGTTCCCTTTCCCAGAGATATCCAAGCAACCCCTTTTGAGCCTTCCTTTTTGCTTAGCTTCTCTGGGTCTGTGGATTATCCTTTACTGCTAATATCCTCTTATGAGTGAGTACATACCATATTTGTCTTTCTGGGTCTGGATTACTTCACTAAGGATAATTTTTTTTTTCTAGTTCGTCCATTTGACTACAAACTTCATGATTTCATTATCTTTAACTGCTGCGTAATACTCCATAGTATAAAAGTATCACATTTTTTTAAACTCCATTTATTGAGTGAGTGAGGGACATTCTGGCCATTGCAAATAAAACTGTTATTAGCACAGTTGAGCAGGTGTCCTTTTGTCATGATGGAGCATCCTTTAGGTCTACATCCATGAGTGGTACAGCAGGATCTTAAGAAGATCTATTCCCAATTTTCTGAGACCCCTCCCCCCACGTGTGTGTGTGTATGTATGTATATGTATATATATGTATATATTTTGATTTCCAACGTGGATGTACAAGTTTGAATTCCCATCAGCAATGTAGGAGTGTTCCCCCTTGCTCGCATCCTCTCCAGCATGAGCTGTCAATTTTGTTTTTTGATCTTAGCCATTCTGACAGGTGTATGATGGAATATCAGAGTCATTTTGACTTGCATTTCCCTGATGGCTAAGGATGTTGTATGTTTAAATGTTTCTCAGTCATTTGAGATTCCTCTACTGAGAGTTCTAGGTTTAGATTCATACCTCATTTTTAAATTAGATTATTAGTTTCTTTGAGGTCTATTTTCCTTAATTCTTTATATATTTTGGAAATTAGCCCTCTGTCAGATGTAAGATTGGTAAAGATATTTTTCCATTCAATGGGCTGCTATTTTGTTTATTGATGATTTCCTTTGCTATACAGAAGCTTTTCAATTTCAGGAGATACCATTTATTAAGTGCTGATCTTAGTGTCTGTGCAGCTGGTCTCTTATTCAGGAAGTTGTTTCCTATGTCAAAGCATTTATGGCTACTTCTCACTTCCTTTTCTATCAGGTTTAGTGTTTCCGGATTTATGTTGAGGTCTTGATGCACTTGGACTTGAGTTTCGCTCAGGGTGCTAGATATGGATATATTTGCATTCTTCTATATTCGGACATCCACTTATGCCAGTACCAGTTGTTGAAGATGCTTTCTTTTTCCATTGTATAATTTTGACTTCTTTTTGAAACAAAAATCAAGGGTTCATAGGTGTGTGGATTTATGCCTGGGTCTTTGATTCTTTTCCATTAAGCCACATGTATGTTTTTATGCCAATACCATATGGTTTTTATTACTATAGCTCTGTAGTAAAGTTTGAAATCAGGGATGGTGATGCCTCTGGAGGTTTTTTAATTATATATGATTGTTTCAGTAATTCTGAAATTTTTGTTTTCCCATATGAAGTGGAGTATTGTTCTTTCAAGGTTTATGAAGAACTGTGTAGGTAATCTGATGGTAACTGCACTGAATATGTTGATTGCTTTTGGTAGGATGCTTATTTTTACTATGTTAATCCTACCAATCCTTGAGCACAGGGAGATCTTTCCACCTTCTGATGTCTTCTTTTATTTTTTTCTTCAAAGACTTGAAGTTCTTGTCATGAAGGTCTTTCACTTTCTTGTTTAGAGTTAATACAAGATATTTTACATTATTTGTGGCTATTGTGAAAGGTCTTGTTTTCCTGATTTTTTTTCTCAGTCTTTTTGTCATTTGTATATAGGAGGGCTACTGATTTTTGTGGAGTTAATCTTGTATGCAGCCACTTTACTGAAGGTGTTTATCAACTGTAGGAGTTCCCTGATAGAATTCTTGGGTTTCCTTATGTATATTATCATATCATCTGCAAATAGTGATACTTGGACCTCTTCTTTCCAATTTGTATTTCCTGGATCTCCTTTAGTTGTCTTATTGCTCTAGCTAGGATTCAAGTACTATGCTGAATATATATGGAGAGAGGACAACCTTGTCTTGTTCCTGCTTTTAGTGGAATTGTTTTGAGTAGCTCTCCATTTAATTTGACATTGGCTGTCAGCTAGCTGTGTGTTACCTTTATAATGTTTAGGTGTGTTCCTTGTATACCTGATCTCTCCAAGACTTTCATCATGAAGTGGTGTTAGATTTTTGTCAAAGACTTTTCCAGCATCTAATGAGATGACCATGTGGGTTTTTTTCTTTCAGTTTGTTTATGTGGTGGATTACATTGAAAGTTTTTCATATGTTGAATCATCCCTGAATTTCTGGGATCAAGCCTACTTGACAGTGGTAGATAATATTTTTGATGTGTTCTTGGGGTCAGTCTGTCAGTATTTTATTTAGTATTTTTACCATCAATGTTCAAGAGGTAAACTGGTCTGTAATTTCCCTTCTTTCTTGAGCCCTTGTGTGGTTTGGGTAACAGGGTGACTATGGCCTGATAACATGAATTTTGAGATGTTCCTTCTTTTTCTATATTGTGGAATAATTTGAGCATTATTTGATATTAACTCTTCTTTGAAAGTTTGATAGAATTCTGTGACAAAGGCATCCGGTCCTGTTTGTTTTGTTTTGTTTTTATTTTTTATTTTTGTTGGGAGACACTTAATGACTGCTTCTATTTCCTTAGAGGTCTATTTAAATTATATACTTGATCTTGATTGAAATTTGATAAATAAGTGTTATCCATCAAGAAATTTTGTCCATTTCCTTTAGATTTTCCAGTTTTGTATGGTACAGCCTTTTTAAATATGTCCTAATGATTGTCTGGATTTCCTCAGTGTCTGTTGTTATGCCCTCTTTTTTCTTTCTGATTTTGGTAATTTGGATATTCTCTGTTAGCCTTTTCGTTAGTTTAGTTAAGGATTTATCTATCTTGTTGATTTCCTCAAAGAATCAACTCTTTGTTTCATTGATTCTTTGTATTGTTCTCTTTGCTTATATTTTATTGACTTCAGCCCTCTGATCATTTCCTACCTACCATCTACTCCTCTTGGGTGTGTTTGCTTCTTTTTGTTCTAGAGTTTTCAGTAGTGCTGTTAAGTTGCTAGTGTGAGATTTCCCCAATTTTTTTATGCAGGCACTCAGTGCCAGAAAGTTTCCTCTTAGCACAGCTTCCATTATGGCCATAGGTTTGGCTACGTTGTGCATTCCTTTTCATTGAATTCTAGGAAGTCTATAACTTACTTCCTTATTTCTGCCTTGACCCCGTAGTGGTCATTCAGTATAGAGTTTTTCAGTTTCCATTAGTTGTTAACCTTTCTGTTGTTTCTGTCACTGTTGAAATTTAGCTTTAATATGTAGTGGTCTGATAACATGCAGGGTGCTATTTCAATGTTTTTGAATCTGTTGAAACTTGTTTTGTGACTGAGTATGTGTTCAGTTTTGAATAATGTACCATGAGATGCTGAGAAGAAGGTATATTCTTTTGTGTTTGGGTAAAATGTTCTGTAGATGTATGTTAGGTCCATTTGGTTCATAATGTCTGCTAACTTCATTGTTTTTCTGTTTAGTTTATAGGCATAAACATAACCATTGGTGAGAACGGCGTACTGAAGTCTCCCACTATCAACAGGTGAGGGTCAATAGGCCATTTAAGATTTAGTAATGCTTCTTTTACAAATGTGGGTGTCCTTGCATTGGGCACAGATGTTGAGAATTGAATGTCATCTTTGATCACTATGAAGTGTCTTTTCCCATTTCTTTTGATTAATTTTGATTTGAAGTCTATTTTGTTAGATATTAAAATAGCTACACAAGATTGCTTCTTAGGGTCATTCGCTTAGAAAATCTTTTTTAACCTTTCTTATGGTGATTATTTTCTTTATGCTATAACAAATAAAGCTTGCCTGAAGATCAGAGGACGAAACTAGTCACTAGTTAACCATCGAGGTTTGGAGGTCTGTACTGACAGACAAGAAGTGATATGACTGGGTGGAGAGAGGTATAGAAGGTGGGAGGAGACAGGAACTCATCCTCTATTTGGGCTGAGAGTAGCAGGGGTAAGAACTAGTGACTGCTGATCTACTCTGATCTTTCAGCATCCACCCACTAATACCTGACTCCAGGTTTTATTGTTAATACCAATTAGAACTGATGCAACACTTGTTACTCTGAAGTAATGTCTATCCTTGATATTGAGGTGTGTTTCTTGCATGCAGCAGAAGGATGGATCTTGTTTTCACATCCATTCTGTTAGTCTGTGTCTTTTTATTGAGAAATTTAGTCCATTAATATTGAGAGATATCAATGACCAATGATTGTTAATTCTTGTTATTTTGTTGTAGTTGATGGTGGTAGATTGTGTGTGTGTGTGTGTGTGTGTGTGTGTGTGTGTGTTGCCCCGGCCCAACGGAGACCCTAGATGGGGAGTGAGAATGGGATGGGATGAGAGACACGAGAGATGGAGACAAGACAGGATTCTGATCAAGTCTCATTTATTCAAGGGAATAATCCAGGTAAATATAGGGTAAGGAAAAGGAGGAAATTCTCCTTGTATATGTGAAAAACTAAGCAACTTACTAGGCAACCTAACCATGGTCTAATGGTTAGGCGGAAAGTGTCTAACTGCAACATGCAGAAAAGTCAGAATGTTCAGAACACGGGAACAATAACTCCTTGCAGAGTTAGTATTTGACAGATCAGAAGAGTAGGAGAAGCCAAGCGCAACAGGGTGGGCAAAACTGATCCAGGGAGCTGTAAGTCCTCCACAGGGTGTGTGCATGTGTGTGTTTTCCTTCTTTGGGTTTTGCTGGTGTGAGATTATCTATTGACTGTGTTTTCTGGGTGTAGTTAACTTCCTTGAATTGGAGCCTTTCCTTCTGTATGGCTGGATTTGTGAAGAGATACTATTAAATTTTGACTTTATCATGGAATATCTTGTTTTCTCCATCTATGGTGATTAAAAATTTTGTGGTTGTCTCGTCTGATATCTGTGGTCACTTAGAATATACAGCACATCTGTTCAGGCCCTCTGGCTTTGAGAGTCTCCATTGAGAATTCAGGTCTTTTTGAACAGGTCTGCCTTTATATGTTATTTGGCCTTTTTCCTCTTGCAGTTTTTAATATTCTTTGTTTTGTGTTTCATGTTTTAATTATTATGTGGCAACATGACCTTGTTTTCTGGTCCAATCTATTCGGTGTTCGGTATGTTTATTGTACCTTTATAGGAATGCAATTCTTTAGGTTAGGAAAATTTTCTTCTATAGCTTTGTTAAAAATATTTTCTAGGCCTTTGCACTGGGAATCTTCTTCTTTTATTTCTATTATTCTTAGGTTTGATCTTTTCATAGTATTCCATGTTTCCTGGATGTTTTATGTTAGAAATTTTCTTTGACTGATGGATTTCTTCTAGTATATCCTCAATCTCAGATTATTGATTTCATCTCTTGTCTTCTGTTGGTAATGACTGCATCTTTAGTTTCTGTTCATTTACCTAGATTTTTCATTTCCAGAATTCCCTCAATTTGTGTTTTCCTTATTTCTTCTTTTTTCATTTTTAGGTCTTAAACAGTTTTATTCAATTCCTTCAACCATTTTTTCCCCCGATTTTCTTGACATTCTTTAAGGAATTTAATGATTTCCTTCAATTTTTTGATTATCTTTCTCTCAATTTCCCTAAGTGATTTATTCATTTCTTCTTTAAGGACCTCTATCATCTTCATAAAGTTGGTTTTAAGGTTGCTGTCTTGTGCTTCAGCTGTGTTGGAATATTCAGGGCTTTGCTTAGTTGGATGGCTGAGCACTGGTGGTAACATGTTGCCCTGATTGTTGTTGATTGTGTTCTTTTACTGACATTAGATTAGACATCTGCATTAGGAGTGATTACTGGTTTAGGCGCTGATTTCTGGATTTGTATTTCTTGGATGACTGTTTTCTTCCTTGGTTTCTCTTTCCTCTGCCATCTTCTGACTAGAGTGATCTGTGCTTGAGTAGAGGGTCTCTGCCCACGTTGGCTGAACTTCTGATGGCTGGGCATTGGAGTTCCCAGTTTCAAGCTGGGACTGGAGTTGTGGCTAGAGGTTGTCTTACCTGATTTTCAGGGAGTGGGCCAGGCTCAGGTGGGGTAGGATGCTTTCACCAGAGGTGTGGTTCAGGATATGGTGACAAGGAGATGAGGTATGTTTTGGCTATGCTAGTTGAGCACGGGCGGCTTGGGAGGCAGTCCACACCTGTGTAGGTGGAGGCTGCTTGTCTGTTTCCCAACTTCCCAGACCTGAAATAATCACACAGATACTATATGGATTACAACACTGCTTAGCCTACTAGATTAAGATTCTTATTAACTAACTCTTACATCTTAAATTAACCCATTGCTATTATTTTATATTTTACCACGAGTCTGGTGGTTTACCAGTAAGGTTCTGGCTGGTAGCCTCATGTCTTTCTCCTTAGGTGACAGCATGGTGTCTCACTGACTCCACCTACTTTCTCCTTTAGCTCTGCTTGGCTCCTCTAGCTCTACTAAACCATTGGCGGAAGCAGTTTCTTTAATAAGCAATGGTAATAAAACACACTTAGAGCATACAGAGGGGAATCCAACATCATACCTGGTGTCAGGATGCCAGAGTGGCCTCTGGTGGCGTAGGAGGTTTCTGGCAGGTAAACATTCTTACTTATGAGTTTATTCTGGTGAACTTCCTGTTGTGATTTGCCCCTTTCCACACACAACAGTTTTCACAATTGTATATGAGTATTTACACAACAGAGTACGTCTTCTATAAAATGAGGAAGAAATGTAATGGGTGATCTGTGGTCGTTTAAGAAACTCCAAAAATAACTGAGATACAACTAATACTTTTAATAGTTCCACTATTTCAAAATGTGTTTTTTGATTGGGAAAGGGAGAAAAGAAAGGAATAGTTGTCATATCAAGGGCCTGGAGGCTTAAGAGTTAACCTTAAGTTGTTGGGTTAAGAGCACATACCAATACCTGAGCAGTTCCCAGTACCCATCAGGGGCTAATAACTTCCTGTACCATGTGTTTAGGAATCTTACACCCCTTTCTTGTCTCCATGGACACCTGTGTATAGATACACATGAATAAAAATAAGTCTGTTTGTCTTGAGACAGGGACTCTACTTGCCCTGGCTGTCCTGATATCCCTTCATGGACCTCACGTTCGGAGATCTGACTGCTGTGCATTCTTAGTGTTGATGTTAAGGATGTGCACCACCAGGCCCAGCTATTAGAAAATAAAAATAACCTTAGATTTCCTTTTTTGCATCCACTTCATGTTTCATTAGATCAGAAAATAAGCATTAGTAACTTCTAGATTCTTTTTCTTTGTTTGACTTAAGACAGGGTGTTATTTAGCTCTGGCTGTGCTGGAACTTGACTTGTAAACCAGGGCTGACCTTGAACCCAGACAGAGGTCAGATCAACTATCTCTCTTCAGTGCGGAAGTGGTTGGGGATTCTGCTTTAATTTCTTTGTTTTTGGAGATAAAAGAGATATAAGATTATAAGGCACTGAAAGACGGGTGTTTAGTTCTTGTGCGGATAAGCTCTCCAAGGGATTAAAAACAGAAAACGTGGAGTCTGAGTTCCGCAAGAACTGAGTATCGGAAAATCCTGACCCTGTTTAGACTGTGGCACACAGTGAGATGATTTTCCTGAGAGTTGGGTTCGTTTTGCTCCCCTAATTAAGATCAAGTGTCCCAACTGTTGGGTAATTGTCTCCTGACCTGTTACCAAGATTAGTCGGTAGGGGGCCTCCTGGTGGAATGGCAAAGATTTAAAGCAAGCTTCTTTTGTAAAAGCCACTTCTGTTGGAAGTTCTCTTTAGCGTAGAAACGTCACACCAGGCACTCCCAATAAATTGTAACTGTGCCTAAAGCAATTTAATCAGACGCTCACACGTCTAAAAGCTAACTGCGGTTCTACATTTAACTTCAAAAGTTGGGCAAAAACGAATGAATACAGGAGACGGCAATCAGCTAACCGCGATTCCCACAGTAACAGTTGAATCAAGGACACAGTTCACAGCCCACTGAAAACGTAAGGACACGACAATGTTTGCAGCCCTTTAGGGAGACAGGTGGCTGGCCCTGAAAAGGACCTTTGAAAGCAAACGACAAAAGCGTGGTTAGTTCAGCCGCCGAAACCATAGAGGGTACGGCCCTGGCGCTTGAGCGCGTAGACCACGTCCATGGCGGTGACGGTCTTGCGCTTGGCGTGCTCCGTGTAGGTGACCGCGTCGCGGATCACGTTCTCCAGGAACACCTTCAGCACCCCGCGGGTCTCCTCGTAGATGAGGCCGGAGATGCGCTTGACTCCGCCACGCCGGGCCAGGCGGCGGATGGCGGGCTTGGTGATGCCCTGGATGTTGTCGCGCAGGACCTTGCGGTGGCGCTTGGCGCCGCCTTTGCCCAGGCCTTTCCCGCCTTTACCGCGACCAGACATACTTTAGCCAGAGAAAGAAAACCCGACTGACCGGCCAAAGCCAGCAGGACTCTCTTATAGGGAGTGTGCGGACCGGAGTGAAAACAGGAAGCGCAGTGGCGGGAACTGCCCGTGTCTGGGGGAGGGGCTCTCAGCGTCAATTTAACGCTACAGATTATAGACGGAAACTAATCCCACCATCCATTAAACTTTTTCTTTAGTATTATTTGTATAGGACCGTGATTACTTAATGTACATGTATCGAACAACGGAACAGTCAGGCGCGCAGTCAATGTTTGCGAGTTTTTAAAGAGCTTTTGACCGTTTTCGTTCGATGTGATCCCTGATGTGTGGGCATTAAAAAAATTTATTATAAAATATACAGAGGCAGCGGGCGGTGGTGGCGCAGGCCTTCAATTCCAGCACTCGAGAGGCAGAGGCAGGCAGATAACTCTGAGTTCAAGTCGGCCTGGTCCACATCTACAGAGTGAGTTTCAGGACACACGGAGAAGCCGTCTTGGAATACAAAAGCAAAAAATTTAAAAATAAAACAACAACAACCAAAGAAATAACGGCTGGAGAGATATCTCAGAGGTTAAGAGCACAGACTGCTTTTCTAGAGGTGCAGTTTAATTCCCACCAACCACACGGTGGTTCACAACCATCTATAATGAGATCTGGGTCCTCTTCTGGTCTGCAGGCAGAACACTGTATACATAATAATTCTTACAAAGGCGAGAATTGTAGCACTTACTTGTATATTCTTTCCACTATCTGGGCATAAGTATGCCTTTTCACTTTAGAGATATAGATTAAGAACCGAATAATTTAATGTCAAAGAAAAAAATCTCATTCATTCATTCATTCATTCATTCATTCATACTACAAAGCAAGGAGGCGGTGGCTCCCGCGTTCGATCCTATCCAGCCCTCCGAGGCAGAGGCAGGAGGATCTGTCCAGCTTGGTCAGCCCTGGCTAGACAGAGAACCCCGATCTCGAGAACCAAAAACACACAAACTAAGATTTATTAGGCCGGTGTGCTTTTACCCCAGCACTCCAGAGGCAAGGACAGGCGGATGTCTAGCTTGATGCCACGGTGAGCGCACGGACAGCCAGGGCTACAACACTGAAATCCTGTATCAAAGGCAACTAGGAAAACACAGAAACAAAAACAAGACACAGGTTAAGAATTTAAAACTTGTAAGTGGCCACCTGAGTGGCTACCACAAGACTGTCAACACTTATATTCTTTAACCCCTATGGTTGAAAAAGATGTCAAGTAAACAAGGAGAAATAAAAGTATCAATTCGTGGGATGTCTAATGCTAAATTCCAGATGGGAAGCTGACAGGGAAAAACTAGATCTACTAAGCCTCAATTTTGTTGAGTTTCGTTTTTGAACAAGCGATATTTGTCTGGCCCTGCCTGTGACATACTGAGAGAAAAGGCAGCATCACTGCCCAGCCTATACTTATACGTTTGTTAAATATAGCTCAAAATATCTCAGCACCGTTTCTGGTACATAAATCGCCAACATGTTTGTTAAGAGAAACATATCACCAGTAAATCTGCATCTGTCACCCTCTGTACAAAGATGTTCAGCGCTTTAAGAGACATTGTAGATGGCTCTGAAAAGAGCCTTTGATTCTGAAGTCTTCGCAATTGCTGACGATTGTAAAATTACTTTCCCTTGGCCTTGTGGTGGCTTTCGGTCTTCTTGGGCAGCAGCACCGCCTGGATGTTGGGCAGGACGCCGCCCTGGGCGATCGTCACGCGGCCCAGCAGCTTGTTGAGCTCCTCGTCGTTGCGGATGGCCAGCTGCAGGTGGCGCGGGATGATGCGCGTCTTCTTATTGTCGCGGGCCGCGTTGCCAGCCAGCTCCAGGATCTCGGCCGTCAGGTACTCCAGCACGGCCGCCAGGTACACCGGGGCGCCGGCGCCCACCCGCTCCGCGTAGTTGCCCTTGCGGAGGAGGCGGTGAACGCGGCCCACGGGGAACTGCAGGCCGGCCCGGGAGGAGCGGGTCTTGGCCTTGGCGCGAGCCTTGCCGCCCTGCTTGCCGCGTCCAGACATCTCGAACAGAAAACAGCCGTTAGCAACTGTGTAGACGAAAGTGGTAAGAGCTTGAATTTTATAGTTTTCTCTGGGCGCGAAAAAGAACCCTTCCGATTGGCTGTCTTCTTCATTTCATTTAGACCAATGGGAAGCGTTTGTGTTGTCGCTTACTTCCATTGGGCCATACTCCTGATGACATTGCCCAAATATCACCCACCCCGAAGTGTGCTATTCTAAGCCTCATTTGAATAACGCCTTATAAAAAGGGAGGACAAGAACCACTCGCCGTTGCAGTTCTTCTGTGCTGTGTCAATATGCCTGAACCGGTGAAGTCAGCTCCCGCTCCGAAGAAGGGCTCCAAGAAGGCCGTGACCAAGGCGCAGAAGAAGGATGGCAAGAAGCGCAAGCGCAGCCGCAAGGAGAGCTACTCGGTGTACGTGTACAAGGTGCTGAAGCAGGTCCACCCCGACACCGGCATCTCTTCCAAGGCCATGGGCATCATGAACTCGTTCGTCAATGACATCTTCGAGCGCATCGCTGGCGAGGCGTCGCGCCTGGCGCATTACAACAAGCGCTCGACCATCACGTCCCGGGAGATCCAGACGGCCGTGCGCCTGCTGCTGCCCGGGGAGCTGGCCAAGCACGCCGTGTCCGAGGGCACCAAGGCCGTCACCAAGTACACCAGCTCCAAGTAAACTTCCAAGCGACACCACCAAAGGCTCTTTTCAGAGCCACCTACACTTTCAGCAAAAGTAGTTGTACACGTGTCTATGTTGGGAACGTGGGGCGTATTGAACCGTTTTTTCTTTTAGCCTTCAGCCTGTCTCCTGTGAGACCGGCGTGGTTGCCGTGTTCCTAAGTCTCCTTTACAGTAGCTCGGCCCCGTCTACTTTTCCAAAAAGTGAAGGCAAACGAATAGGGCAAAGGCGCCAGGTAAGTTCCTCGTCGACCGTGACTGAAGCGAGATCGAAAACTTGTTGGCTAATGTAAACAAAACTAGGACAGCGAGTGAGGCTACTCAGGTCTTTAAAGGTTGTGTTACTGTGGCAGGGAACTCCTGGGCCCGGAGAGGGGGCATCAAATTGAACATGCGAGCACTAAGTACTGTTTCTTAACCAGGCACTATTGTGAGGGATTGGGTTCCTTTATATTCGTGATGTCATTTCGTTTTCTGTTTTCCAGGACAGGGTTTCTTTGTGTAACCGTGCCTGTCTTGGAACTTGCTCTGGGATAGGCTGGTCTCGAACTAAAGACGTGCACCCGCCTCTGCCTCCCGGTTGCTGTGATTAAAGGTCTGTGCCTTGAATAAGGAAAAGGCCACAGGTAAGTTCCTGATCTTTCATTTGTTTGTTTGTATCATAATCTCCGATTCTGGGGTCAGTGATTAGGACTGAACACAGCCGGAATCTGGGAGATTTGCAGATAGGTAGGTGTAAGGAGGCTTGAGCTCACATCAGATCTGCCCACGCATATCTCGCTACTGATGTTGATTGTACTGGGACGCTCAGAAGGACAACCCACCGCTACAGTGACAGAGTCACATTTGCCATCTGTTAGCTCAAGTCTGTAAAAATGAGTCCCCAGGTCATCCAGTTTGCAGGTGTGAAGCTTCACTTCAAGTTCACTTCAAGAGTAAAAGAAAATATGTCTTTGAGAGGGTGCTTCAGTGGAAGGCACAGCTGAGCAAGGATTCACTGCCGAACAGTCAGTTTCCCCAGAAAACTTGACAAAACGTTCACCAAAAATAGGAGGGCCTCGGGATCATTCTGCGTGGCAGAAGTGCTCTTGGCATTGCAGGACTTCAGTCTCTTTGCCTTTCTTGCCTTGCAAAATGTGAAATGTCAATTTTATGCTCCAGAGACGCAAAACACCCATGTATTGTCAACACCAACCTCGAGAGGGAAGTAGAGTTTCATTGAAAATGACCTTTAATAACTGCAGTCAGCGGTATCTCAAGGATGTATTGGCAACACCTGCCTCGAGAGGGCAGTAGAGTTTCATTACAAGTGCCATTTAACATCTGCAGTCAGTGGTATCTCAGTTGTTTACCCAGGAAAATTTCGGTAGGAAGAGGAACCTGCTAACCATGTGGTGTAATGGTTAGTGGTCTGAGTTCAAATCTTGGTAGGGTCATCTAGATTTCCATTATTGAGTAATGTTATTCCTTGAAACTTACTTGTCCCTCAGTATTAACCAACCCCTAAACCTGCTCACCACACACTTTCACAAGCAGGCCCACAGCCAGAAATTAATACTGCAGGGAGTCTCCTCAATTGCTGGAAACCGTGTTGTGGTGTTGAGTGAGGAAGGGCACATTCCTGGTGTCTCCTCCCTGGAGTGCCCGCACTTCTTTGCTGTTCATTGTTAACAGAGAACTGAACACTTTTTATGTGCTGGGCTGTGATGTTCCACACTTCAGCAGAAAACCAATGAGTGTTTTGTAGATTGAAATAACAGAATTTCCAGATGGACATGTGGTCAACTCCTGGGTTGCACAGGGTAGGTGGCTAAGGTCCGTACAGAGTGGGCTGAAGTCCTACATGACCTCCAGCCATCTAAACCTTTCTGTCCTTGTTACTCTGCTTCTGAAGGGTCCCAACACTTCCTTTTACTACCTGGAAGTTGATTGATAATTTTAGTTTATATTAATGTACAGGTTTTCTATGTTGCATAAACACAATTTATAGAATCGAGTACAGCATGCATGCATGTAGCTGTCGATATCAAGTGCATACGTAGCCTGTAGTGCATACCATGTACCGGCCTGCTGAAGGCTCCTTTTCCAGTGCACGTCTGAGTACCAGGCATGCAGCAGTAGAGGGAAACATGATTCCTTGCTCTACCAGACTTTCTGCTTCAGGGGGAGTGATTCCACTGATGGAGTTTCTGTTCTTTTTGTCCTGGAACTCAATCTACACCATGCTGGTCTTGAATTTACAGAGATCCTCTGGGATTAAAGGCCTATGCTATCACTGTCTAGCTTGGATTGTCTTTTTTTTTTTAAATTTTTTTTTTTTTTATTTTTGAGACAGGGTTTCTCTGTAGCTTTTGGTGCCAGTCGCAGAGTAGCCCTTGTAGAGCAGGCTGGCCTGGCCTTGAACTCACAAGAGTTCCATCTGCCTCTGCCTCTGCCTCTGCCTCTGCCTCTGGAGTGTTGGGATTAAAGGCGTGTGCCACTACCAGCCTGGCTGGATTTCAAAGAGGAACTAATCAAGGAAGAAAAAATTTAAATTGAGCTCATACTCGGAGAGAAATTATAAAGCTACTATACCCCTACTGTCTCATCTGAATGAGGTTATCTTTGCCATTTGATTAGTCAGAAGAAACCTGTTATGAGTCTGTAAGGACAAATAAGTCCAGGAGTTTTAGGAGACAATATTAAATGAAATGATATGAGTTTATAAAAATAAGCCCAGAAATGTTAGACGCAATATTAGGTGTCACACACAAAATGAAACTAAAAAGCATGAAGCAACGTGTGCAGTGGTGATAAGAGTTTGAGCTGGTGAACAAGTGTGACGTAACTATATGATAAGCTAATCTAAAAAGAAAAAAAGTACCATAGCCACAAAATAGTATAAAAACTTGAGGCTTACGACCAGGAGGCATTCTCAAAATGACTTGCTAGACATGCTGTCAGAGCGGTCATAGAGAATCCAACGAACCAGCAACTCCACAGCTGAGACCGTCCAAGAGCCAGAGAACTAGCTCTTGCCTGCGGATCAAGACTTGCTGATCCAGAGGCCTACATCGAGAGCCACGGACCATTATCAGGTCATATACACCAATGCCTCAGTAAGATAGGATAGAAGACCTTGCCTAGGACACATAGGAACCTTTTGTTGAATGTGTGATGTGATTGAAGGTGTGATGTGATTGATTGACTAGGATTGTTATAGGTGTGATGTTTACTTATATTTGATATAAGAATAATTAGGGATTTAAATGATTGTTATAGTTTTGATGTTTGCCCATACCTGCTAACAATTGGAGATTTGACTATTGGCATAATAAACTTGTACCTAGAACAAACACTGTGGTCATCCTGAGTATTTACTTGCAGACCTCTAAGTAAGGGCAGAATGCCCGCTCAGGAATAGGGCTCGCGACAAAACCAATATGAAGTAAACATCTTCATAGAGGCTTAAGATGGACAACTCTCAACACCTACAGTTAGCAAGCTGGAGGCAATGGCGTATTTGCGGTTCAATACTTAGCAAGAGTTGACAACATTTCGAGTTTAATACCTGCAAGACTATGTCTCATCCCAAAAGCTGTCAGTGCTGGAAGGCAGGCCCTCTTCTCTCTCTCTCTCTCTCTCTCTCTCTCTCTCTCTCTCTCTCTTTCTCTCTCTGTCTTTCTGTGTGTGTGTGTGTGGTTGCTGCTGCTTCTGTTTTATTTGGCTCTACACTTAGTTGGATGAAGCCCATTTCCATCTAGGAGGACCGTCTTCTTTCCCCTGGGTGAATGTTAAACTCATCTATGGACGAAGGAAAAAGTGCACAGGGAAACCCATGGTGATGTTTGGCCAGTTATGTGGATATCAAGCTCATTGCCCTGACAAGAAGACATGTAATATTAACCATACAACAGTTTGCTGAAGGAGAAAACAAGATTTAAAAATAAGAAAAGGGCTGGAGAAATGCTTACTGATGCTCTTGGATCCACATTTAATTCCCAGAACCCACATGGTGACACACATCGCTTCTCATTCCAGATTCAGGGGACAAGATGCCCTGTTTTAACTATTTGAGCTCTTGCAAGCACAAGGCTGCTATAAACATAGTTGAGCACATGTCCTTGTGGCACGATTGAGCATCCTTTGGATATATACCCAAAAGTGGTATTGCTGGGTCATGAGGAAGGTTGTTTCCTAATTTTCTGAGAAATCACCACACTGACATCCAAAGGGGTTGAACCAGCTTGCATTCCCAGCAGCAATGCAGAAGTGTTCCCTTTTCCCCACAACCTCTCCAGCATAAGTTGTCATCAGTGTTTTTGATCTTGGCCATTCTTACAAGTGTAAGATGGAATCTCAGAGTTGTTTTAATTTGCATTTCTATGATGACTAAGGATGTTGAGCATTTCCTTAAGTGTCTTTCAGCCATTTTAGATTCCTCTGTTGAGAGTTCTCTGTTTAGGTCTGTACTCCATTTTTAAAATTGGATTCTGTGATCTTTTGGTGTCCAATTTCTTGAGTTCTTTGTATATTTTGGAGATCAGACTTCTGTCTGATGTGGGGTTAGTGAAGATCTTTTCCCATTCTATAGGCTGCCGTTTTGTCTTGTTGACCATGTCCTTTGCTTTACAGAAGCTTTTCAGTTTCAGGAGGTCCCATTTATTAATTGTTTCTCTCAGTGTCTGTGCTGCTGGGGTTATATTTAGGAAGTTGTTCCCTGTGTCAATGCGTTCAAGTGTACCTCCCACTTTCTCATCTATAAGGTTCGGTGTGACTGGCTTTATGTTGAGGTCTTTGATCCATTTGGACTTGAGTTTTGTACATGGTGATAGATGTGGGTCTATTTTCATTTTTCTCCATGTTGCTATCCAGTTATGCCAGCATCACTTGTTAAATATGCTTTCTTTTTTTCCATTTTATATTTTTTGCTTCTTTATCAAATATCAGGTGTTTGAAGATGTGTGGATTGATATCCAGGTCTTCAATTCGGTTCCATTGGTCCTCCTGTCTGTTTTTATGCCAATATCAGGCTGTTTTCAGTACTGTAGCTCTGTAGTAGAATTTGAAGTCATGGATTGTGATGCCTCCAGAAGTTCTTTTATTTGGCTATCCTGTTTTCTTTTGCTTTTCCAAATGAAGTTGAGTACTGTTCTTTTGAGGTCTTTAAAGTATTTTACTGGGATTTTGATGGGCAAGCAATGTAATTTTTACATGTTGCCCATTAATTTTGCACTTGAGATACCTTCACATGGCTAAAAAAATGGGGTTTGCCCTTGCTTTTATTTTCTCAATTTTCCTAGTCACTCTTACTTTTTTGTTTGGGAGGAGGGTTCTTGGTTCTGTTCTGTTCTAAGACAGGGTCTTGCTATGTATTCCAGGTTGGCCTCTAGCTCTCAGCAATCCTCCTGCCTCTGCAACCCATGCCAGAAGTACAGGCATGCATCACCACTCTGTGCTCACCCCATCCTCAGTAAGGACAGTAAATGCAGGAAGGGCCTCAGGCATGCTAGGCAAGAACACAGATAGAATAATCACTGTCTGCTGGGTTTGGCTGTGAAGCAGAAGTCCTCTGAAGATACTCACCCTGGTAAAAAGTTGACCATGCCTTTTGTTTTTGCTTTACAGTCTTTTATTTGAGACAGGGCCTCGGGTAGCTCAGGCAGCCTTGACTTTGTAATTATCTGCCTTCACCGGCCATATGCCAGGATTCGAGGCATTCGCCCCAGTGCTGGGTTCTATGTGGTGCTAAGGATGGAGCTTCTTGCAAGTCTTCTGCCAACTAAGCTTGTACTCCAGGCTGTCCTTACGCTCACAGTGGTCTTCCTATCTCAGCGTCTCAAAATCTGACATTGCAGGCCTGAGCCACCATGCCTTGTTTCTGATATTGTCTTACTCAATTAAGACTCCCAGACTTCAAGTCACTAGCCCTTCTTCCAATCTG